AGAGTGAGGTGAAGGGGTTGGTTTAGCAACAAGCAGTTGCGTTCCTGTGAAACTGTTGCAGTTATGCTCGCCTCACGCCCGGCAGTTGCCAAAGTTGAATTGTCTTTAACTTTTTGTACACGACGCGCAGCACAAATCATTGGAAGAGAGACTGAGAGAGAGACTGATCCTCGCTGTTTCCAGAATCTATTACGGTTTACTAAACAGGACATCAACAGGAGGGAATTCGCACAGCAGAGCATCCCTGCAAAACTAGATGAAGGCCAATCAGGTAAAGTTATATAGCCTATAATTTTAACTTAAGTTAAATAGGCTACAGCTGTGTAGCACACTGAAGAAGCCGTTACCATGGCTACTATCCATAGAGTGCCTGCCGTTTACTCCCTGAGCGCTGTCTCCCTTTCTGATCATCGGAGAAAAGAGCAACCCCGCGGGGCCAAGCGACTATGTTGTGATTTTTAAAATGTTTCTAAGACCGACATCTTCACCAATACTAATCAGCATCCAGTGTGTAGCTATCCACTTTGCTATGGCGTTGGATCGCTTGTCTTGCTTTTGTTTATCTACTTCTCCCACATACTGCATCCAACGTAGTCTGCCGAAGCCTCCCTCCGCTGCTTGTTTGGGTGGGTGATTTGCAGGCTAATCAACATCCCACCCCTCCTGTGACCCATAGTTTGACTGTATGTGTATTCAGAGCCAGTGAGCAATGGACTTTCAAAAAATAATGATGGTGAAAACTGCGTTAACGTGAGATCAAATAATTGTCGGTGTTAATTAATTAATGTGTCAACGTGATAACACGTTAACTTGCCCAGCACTAAAACATACATACATTGTTAAAGTGCTCTGTATTCAGTGTAACTGTTTGATCAATAAAAAATTAAGAAAAGGAAAATGTTCATGCTATCACATTTAAGTGTCAAACTGAACCATGAATTCTGTAAAACCTTTCTGCCTGCTGTCCAGTCAGGATTCAAGCAAACTGAGTTTTCATAACACTGACGTCTTCAAACCTTCAATCTAATGTCCAACACCAAAATATAAGATTTGTACCAAGAGTGAACAAATCACAGCATTATTTCAGTGTCCATTACAGCATCTGCCTGTGTGTTAATATGTATATAGAGATAGATTAAAAAGCGTATGCTCATCTGCATACTAACACAATTCATCTGTTGGTATAGTAAACTATAACTGCTAAAATTCCTCAGCACTTTATATTTTGCAGAAGGTGTCTGATGCAGTCCTTTCAGTTGTGTGTACTTTCATAGGTTTGTATGTCTATGACTGACCTGGCCAGAGCAGCCTGCAGCTCCTCCTCCTTTTTGGCCAGTTGGATCTTCAGCTCCTCTATCTGAGCCTGAAGTTCCACAATCTGGTCCTGCAGGTCGGTCGTCTCAGCATCCAGTTTGCGTTTGGCCTTCTCCAGCTCCTGACGCGTTTTCTCCTCCTTCTTTAAACGCTCTGAAGGGAGGCAAAATCACATGAATCATGAACAAAATGCAAAATCAAACATAGCCATGTAATTATTAAAAAACAACTTTTGGCTAAAGTTAATCTCAAGAGTTAAATGGGCAAAGTCACAAGTTACTGAGGGGTCACACGAGGTAAGAAGAGGTCACAACACCTAATTGCTAACAGCCCGATACAACTAATGTAATCAGATTAGCTGCTTTAGCTTTAAATGCACCGGAGTTTTTTCAAACATTCCTACATACCTCAGGTCTTGGGCACTTATACAATGCCGATCAAGTCTTATGTTCAAATCATATCACCTGTACACTTTTCAGAATGTATCGTTAACAATAACAAACACATAAAAATATATCTGTCATTTATTACATTTTGTAGATTTGTACAATCTTGTATAGATGTCAGATTGTTTTATTTTATTTTAATTATTATTTTAATTCGACTGTTATATTTCATGTTTACTGTAACTTCTCATGAACTCCCATTATTCAGCAAGTAATCAAATCACAGTCACTTGCTGGAGGTCACGATAACATGGTGTGTGCACACACTGTTTTGTGGATTAAGCACGCATGGACCGACTCAAACTCCAATTCAGTGTTTTTAATTTTGACCTGATGGAACAAAAACAAATTCCTCTTCATCAGTGGCCTCAGGTACATCTTTGTTACAGTCATCAAAACCCTTCAGGAACAAAGAAACCGCTGCTCTGCACTTCACCTGACACCCAGGTGCTATTACTGTGACAGTAAGCTGATATAAAATAACTTTTTTATCATTGTGTCGGTACATATTCATACTAACAGTGACATAACAGCGCCATCGTGAGGCCAAAAAGGAAAACACTCATATCCCGCCATGACCTCCAGAATACTGTGAATAAGAAAGATAAACACTCTTCCATACTTCTCGGTCTGTAGTGATCCAACAATCTTTTTACAGAAAAACATGAGAAGAACAATTCCTTTTAACATTTTTGACACCAGAACATTGTTAAAAACAAATAGTTTGAGGAATAGCAGGATTATGTGCTTTATTGGATGAAATGAGTGAATTAGACAGAGTGAATAAGTCCCTAGTCACTGAAGACCTGAAGTATGCATTTAAAGGTTCACTCATTGTACAGCTGTAAAAGGTAAATTAAACAAAACCTTTAAACCTGTAAAAAAGACTTAATTCTTCCTCTTGCTTTGAGGACATTATCTATTCTTGACCCCATTCTACCATTTGAGCTGTTGCAACAGTGCCCACCCATCTATTACTTTGTGTCTGTTCTAGTAAATGTTCCCTGTTCTTGGACAGAAAATAGAGCCAGTAACAGCGACTTGCTGCACATCAGAGTGCCTTACCCTCCAGGTCAACCATCATCATCTCCTGCTTGTTCTTGATCTTGCCAAGGTTCTTTGCTTTCTCCTCCTCCTCCGTGAGCTGGGAGGTCATCTCGCCAATCCTGTCCTCCAGCAGCTTCTTCTCCTGTTGGGTAAAATTAAGTGTGGGTCAGACTGGAGGCCTTAAGACACAACTACTGTGCAGAGGTGAAAAGTTATGAAGACTTAAAAATCAAACTAAAGTGACCTGTATTTTGTGTTGCACTGCCTCATCCATCACCTTATACTTTTTACAATCTCAACTTGAAGGACTTACTCTGCATTCTGGTTCTTGTTTGACCCATCATATAATCCACTCACCTTGAGGAACTTGGAGTTTTGGTCTTCCAGCAGGAGAATGTCCTCCTCCATTTTCTTGATCTTCGCCTCAGCTGTCACTTTGTCCAGTTGTAGCTTCTGCCTTGCAGCTTCCTCCTCATCGAGCTGCTCCTCCAAGTCCTGTGGAGAAGAAAACACACGCATAAAGATTCATAACCAATCTAATGCGACAAGGGTGAAGTCTGAACACTGAAGTTTATAAAGTGACAAAGTAAAAACTTTAGAGTTTAACACTCACAAACTCAGCGATTTAGTGTGGTTTGATCAGATTTGTTAGACGAGACTGGAGTCAGTTCTTCGTGTATCAACCTCTATATGAATGGATTACCAGACAGAGCCAGGTCTGTCTTCCTGTGGTACTGAAATCAAATGTTTATTGTAGGGCTGACCCTGAATAGTCGAAGATTCGATGCTTCGATGGGCGGAGCCTGATTCGACTGTAAATCTCAGTCGAAGCTTCACAGCGAAACAAGGATCATGCCATTTTGGCCATATAGGGGTGCTCAACGTCTGATTTTAAATAGAACTACCAGTTTTCTCCCTATAAAGTTAATATACAGCCTATTACAATATACATTTCAATGTTTAATGCTGTAAATAAACATTTAAAAAGAAAAAAACTTTCAACAAATGTTTTTAAAGTGCGTAAATTAATCCAAAATTGTAACCCTTACTCTGGGGCGTCAGTGCGCATGTGTTGGCATAGTGTGTGTGTCTCTCAAGACTAAAGCAGAGCCATCAAAGAGGCACAAAAGAAGGAAATGTTGACAAATATTGAAAAAAACAAAGTAGCTCTCTTTCAGAAAAGCCCCAAAACATGGAAAAAACCTCTAGAGGAAACTGTGCTGTGAAAGAACTAAAGGAAAAAAAGAGCATTTTATACCATACATAGGTCAGTACAAACATGTGATTTAAATCTGGCTGAAAATATTCAAAGCAGTTACTGAACCAACAGCACTTTACGATAGTGGACTTTGGTACCCAATCAAATAGTGTGATTTGTTTTCAAATTGGGAAAACATCCAGTGGAAACCCTGAACAATTCTATCAAGAGTACAGAGGAATGTAGCACAGAAGGCCTGCAGCTGAAGATATTAAGGCCAGTTTAATCAAATTATACACAATTTAAACAAAAACAACTTCATCTTTTGTAAAGAATTCCCCAAAAAACTCATCAATTATTATTTGGCAATAGAATGCAGCAATAAATGAGCCCCGTATCTCAACACTACAGCTGATAAAATGTTGAAAAAAAATATCAACTAAGGCATAGACACCGCCTGGCCTTCGCAACAAGTGGACGCAGACAAACATGGCTACCAACAGAAGACAAGCCTGTGACCTACAAGTCATTGAGACAGAGCTTCACTTCTTCACTGAGTGCACCAAGTACTCTGAAACCACTTCAGACCAGTGATAAGAGCCCAGAGAAGAAAGAAATGCAGAAATATCTAACGTAAAATTACTCAAACTTTGGTAGAAAAGGATGAGTTTATGTAGGATCCCTTCACTCACAGATAAAGAAAATCTGTTGATGTTGTATAATGTTCTGTGTGAAGATCAATAACATCAAATCAATTTGGAAAAAAGCACGTCAAAACAGACGCAGGAGAGAGAAGTTAAGTTGAATTAGGTGACGATATCAACCTGGATGTGTGACTGCATCTTCTTCTTCTCATTCTGCAGGCTCTGGTTCCTCTCCTCCTCTTCCTCCACCCTGGACTCCAGGTCATGAAGGATCTCCTCCAACTCTTGCTTCCTAGAAAGCAGACGAACTCTCATCTCTTCGGCCTCGGCGAACAGCTCCGTCTCCGCGTGGAGTTGCTCTGCTAGGATATTCTTCTCCTCTATGAGCTGGACAGAGGGAACAGTTTGAAATAACTTATCCAGCCTTATTAGCTACGAGGTTAGTTACTTCAATTGTCTACCAAAAATTAATGAGGTTTCTCTGAAGTAACTTTGGATGCGTTTACCTGTTGGTGTTTCCTCTCCATCTCCACCAGCTCATTCTCCACCTTGAGCTGTCTCTCCTTCACTTTTATCAGCTCCTCGTCTTTGGCTTGCATCTCCTCCTCCTGCCTGGTGACCTGCAGCAGAGGCTTCACCTGAGAGAGAGCGAGAGAGAGAGAATCAACCAGGGTTTAATACCCCACACAATGCAATTTAATAACTCTTTCATGGTCATACTGGTCAAGGAATGAAAAACACCAGTAGGGTTTACCTTTATTGACATCTATAATCACATTTTTGTCAGCACTTCCCAGTAGTATATAACAAAATAAAATAATAAATTCCTAAATGAGAAGCAGAATGTATTAAGCAATGAAAAAAATCAATCAAATGAATTTCAGTAAAAAAATGTTATGATTAGATGAGCTTTTAGATACAATATTTAGTAGTAGCAACAGTGTCTATGAAGATTCTCAGTCATCCAGGTCATAGTTATCCAACGAAGGTTAAAATGAAGGGCAACTGGACTTGGTTGAAGCTACTGGAAGACGTTTCGTCCCTTATCCAAACGACTGTCGTCACAGCAACAAGGAACACTAACGAACCAGCGGTATCGATGACCCGGGATAACGATCCCACTGAGGTTAAATAGCTGAGTTTCCCTGCCAGTCAGTCAGAACTGAAGAAGTCCTTTGGATGAGGGACGAAACGTCTTCCAGTAGCTTCAACCAAGTCCAGTTGCCCTTGATTTTAACCTTCGTTGGATAACTATGACCTGGATGACTGAGAATCTTCATAGACATCTTGCTAATCATTTTGGGATGAACACCCTCAGATTGGTATGGGAGTATGAAAGGACAGCCAGGAAAATTGCAGACTACAGGAATCACCTACGATTCAACCTGAGATGCCGACAACACAAACTTATTCCCAACAGCCTACACCTAGGCCCCACGGTAGGACACAGAGCCGGAATAATCCTGGAGAAAGCACAACACCAGCTACTGAACGAGAGAGTGAGACAAATACACTTCACAATTGAAGCCCTGAACAAAGAATGGACAACATACACCACAAACTAGAAACATATCTGCCCAGTACAGCACTGGGAAAGGTCATGGACTTCATCAACAAAGCACAGCTATCTCAGCACAACAAGAGCAAAGAAAGACAGACCCGGAAATTCCAAAACCTACAGTCCAGAGCGAGCTGCACTAACAGAACAGGAGAATTGTCTTGGAGGAGAAAGGGCAATAACCCCACAACACTTGAAACAGACAACAGATGGGTGAAAAACTTGTCAGAGAGGGAACTCACCCAACCAGAGAAAGATGTTCTGGCCAAAGGATTAAACTTTGCCATTACACCACAGCAACTACCGATAGTAGACCTCATCATAGCCACAGAATCGGCCATTAGGAAAAACAAATTAACAGAAACAGAAGCGGAACAGCTCAGACTAAAGGTATCTGCAGCCCTTTCTAATGTGAAGGCCCCCCCTTCCAACCTCAACATCCAAGAAAGGAAGGCTGTGACATCTCTGAGCAAGGATCAAAACATCACTATCCTACCTGCGGACAAAGGAAGATGCACGGTAGTACTTAACACAGCGGACTACCAGAACAAAGTCAACACACTACTAATGGACACAAACACGTATGAGACACTGAGACGAGACCCAACCAGCGGATACAAGAAAAAGGCCATAGAATGTCTACAACAGTTACAGAAGGACAACACCATCACCCGTGAACAATATTACCATTTGTGTCCTGGAGAAGCCATTCCATGCATTTATGGACTACCCAAGATACACAAAGAAGGAGCCCCACTCAGGCCGATTATCAGCAGCATTAACTCGGTCACCTACAACATTGCCAAACACATTTCCACCATCTTAGCTCCATTGGTGGGAAACACATCTCACCACATCCAAACTCTATTGACTTTGTAAACAAAGTTCGAGGACTAAAACTGGATCCAGATGAAACCATGGTATCCTATGACGTGACTTCTTTGTTCACCTGAATCCCCACCATAGAGGCAGTAGAAACCGTTAGGAAACGGCTAACACAAGACAACACCCTGGACAACAGAACTAGCCTCAGCCCTGACCAAATCTAAAATCAAATCACTTAAACTTTACAATCCACTCTGTCTAGGGCTCACTTTAGTTTATAGGTGTATAGTGTCTCCCAACAGCCCGCAATCACAAACAAAAAAACAATGTCAAAGGCATATTCAATATATCGATATTTTATCAAATAAATTTTATTTTTTTTCTTATGGACCTTTACACAGCAATTCAGCAAACTCAGTTTCCTGATGAGGACTAGCGGACACATTTTGTTATTCTTTATCGTCTGTTTAGTCTTTTATTTTAACTGAAGACATTTTTGAGGCGTCAAATCACTAATTTCTGAAAACGCTCAGATCATCAGTTTGTTGGAGGGGTTTAGCTGTCAGGGTTCTCACCTTGGTGAAGAGCCTCCACCACTGCCAGTGTCGCAGCTTCAAGTAAGCAGCACAGTTCCTCTGAAGGACCTTTAGGGCACTCAACTGCTGCTGCTTCTTAGCAAAGGCCCTATGGGAAAAAGACAATGGTATAATAACAAGCGACAAATCGGTGTCTGGGAAAACCCAAGTTTTGAAAGTCATATGAAGTCCAATATTCTCTTTTAGCTCTTTTTGGTCACTACCAACTCATTATGTTCACCAGCTAGCTGCTAACTGTATCTGTCTGATGTTTCCTGCTGCGGCTGTAAATAACGCTAGAAGAGCCGCGACAGTGAACCAAAGTATTAAAGTTTAGGTCAGACAGCTAAACAAGAAGTTGAAATTCACAATAAAGCTCCGTAAATCTAAGCAGAGCTGCAGATTCAGGTGACAAGTCTCTGTAGGTTCGTCACTACCAGTAACCTTCACAGTATCACATTACTTTCATTTGATACATTGTTTCTGGGAGTAGTTTGAGCAATGTGATGCATACTGGGAATTCAAACGCAGATATATGTTCATACCTAAGAAATAGTTAGATACAAAGATCTGACACTCACTTGCGTGCCAAGTATCCACGGCACACAGACTGGAAGTAAATGATGATGTCAGTGATCTTCAGATCTCTCTCCTCCTCCAGGTGAGCCAGAACACCAGTTCTGAAGAAGATCTTACTCTGACCAATACGGAACAGGTTCGGGTCCAGCTCCAGGGCTCGGATCTATAAAAGGCAAATGAAGAGTTTTTAAGAGTTTACCTCTGTGGGCATGGTTAAATTCACATTGTGTTTGAATACATTTAGGAAATGTTTCTAGCTTGGGAAACAGTTTGACATTACAATCATTTCTGTATTTCTGTTAGGGTGTTTACACTGCAGGAGTTTTTCAAGGGGGCCAAGAAGCTTTGAGGAACTCAGAAACTAAAACCAGAGGAACAAGGGACTATAAATATAGTTCCTACAGGACAGTTCCAGGTGTAAAAACAGTCATTGTAGTACTTTCTGATGGTTCAGGAACTTGGAGGGGTGGAGTTTGGACGGTAAGCTGATTGATCAAAACGCAGGCAGCGCGGCTGCTTCAACTTGAGTAGTGCTTCACTCAAAACAATAAGTACTCAACTATCAATATTAAGACAAAAGGATCGACACTTAGTGTTGTTTATTCATGTTAAAACCAAAGTTAGGCTTCGTTGCCAGACTCGTTTTAAAAAGCGATAGAGAGCAGGAGTCAGGAGGGAGTAAATGAGAGAAATTGTACTTCATTTTCTGATAAAAGCAGGAATAAATAACCATCAAAAACTCAGCAGATTGTCACTGTGGAGACAGGGACTCAGAAGTTTCCGGTCTCCCTTTCTCCTCTGCACATCTCCTCTTCATTCATTCATTACATCAAACTCAAACATCAGAGTCATGCAACAGTAAATACAAAGAACAATCCTTATGTGTGAAAATGTTTCAATTTGTAAATCTTCATGATTCTTCAGATAAGATGGAAATGCAAACAGAAATATGTAAGTCACTTTTAGTTTCTGAGTTCCTCTGGTTCCATAGCTCCTGACAGGAGGGATCCAGCAGTTCTTAAATTCAATAGCTCAGCAGAATACACAGTATGTTATTGTTTCCAGGGTAGTCGTTTTAAGAACGAAATACAGCAAATAAAAAAAAAAAACACTACCATTCTCTCACAGGCTTGTTTACCATCCATGAATCCCTTGGGGATAGCGTTGGGTGTTAGGATCTCATATCTGTGAACAAAAGAGAACATGCATATAAACTGAAAATGAAACCAACTTTTCTGTGTTAATTGAGGTAAAGAGTTAAAAAAGCATCTCTGTTGTCTGTCACCTCTGTCTGAACTCCTGGAAGACGATGCGGTTGGGGAAGCCCTGTCTGCAGATACGAATGCCCTCTAGGACTCCATTACACCTCAGCTGGTCCAGAACCAGGTGAGGCTCCAGTTTACCAGCCTGAAGAAGAAACAAATACACCATTAAGAATAGAAACAAGTATTTGGATACTTCTAGATTTCTATCATACAATTTCTCACATATCTTTTCTCCGATTGTTATTGTGTGTTTTCTCTATGGGTCAGCATACTTACTCTTTTTTCATGGTTGGGGATGATGCAGCGGACGAAGTTGGGGTTGGTGTTCCTCAGTGTGGCCATGAGCTTGGTGAGCGACTCCTTGTAGAGCTGTCCAACTGTACGAAACATGCCCTTTTTCGTTTTGTAGGTGGCACCAAAGGCTGTCTCGTTCATTCCTGCCACCTGGTCCAGGCCCACGATGCGGTCGACTGGTGGGGAGATGGGGAGAACTGGTTAGAGTGGGAAGACTTGGGAGCAGAGAAGCACTGTAGGAACAGCAGTAGCAACACAGTGACATAATGTAGCTACATGACCAAGTGCAGATGGATGAAAACAATGGTAGCCTACCAAAGTATAATTCTATGTCTAGAACTGCCACTAGCTACTGCAGATGGAGATGGAGTGGGTAGCTTATCTATTCCTAAGACTAAGGGTCTGTACATACAGGGTGCTATATGAAATAAACACAATTTTTATATGATTTACTCACTAAGTATCAACAACATTTGAATGCGAGAATTGAAAGGCTTTTCTCTGGTCACAGTGGATGAGAGACTATGCAGCTTTTTACTGCTTATGACACGAAACCTGCCACGGCTCTACAGTGCGTCTTAGTGTTGTAGTCATGACCACCCACAACAAGACCAAGTCAACACAAAGACTTTTAGGGGCTGAGATCAAGTCGAGACCAAGACCAGTTCCCCACATTACATGACACGCAATAAAATGCGGAACAACATCATAGGTACTTCTCAAATTGATCTGAAAGGTCTACATTCCCATTAAAACACTCATATACAAACACACACACTAGAGCTAAAAGCATCTTTATTCAACACTCCTTTTCCATGTTTACCATCCACTAGAGCTGGGCAATATGGCCAAAAATGTTATCACGATAAAAAATGTCATATCATTTGATATCGATAATAAACACGATAAATGTCATTATTTCTTTAAAATTTGAAGGCACATGGAAATTGTGGTTTTAAACTTTTCTTTCTGGTCAGATCAACTACTTGATGCCAAACAGTGGATCACTTCACAAATCTGAGGTAGAACATTCAAATCTATTATGATAAAATCTTTTCAACAATAATGCATAAGTTAAATTAAGTAAAATCTTTTTTCAGTCCCTTTTCCTCAACAAAATATCTTAATAGAAAAAATAAGTGCTTATTCATTTGTGATTGAAATTAATTACATCAAACCTTTATTAAACATGTTATATTGTTATTGAAAAAAATTACACTGAACTAAATTATAAATGCAACACTTGTTTTTACCCCCATTCATCATGAGCTGAACTCAAAGATCTAAGACTTTTTCTATGTACACAAAAGGCCTATTTCTCTCCAATATTGTTTACAAATCTGTCAAAATCTGTGTCATTGAGCACTTCTCCTTTGCCGAGATAATCCATTCATTCATTCTGTAAGACTGAAGAAGAAAATATGGAGAAGGCTAGCTTGCCATTTAGCCATATCTGTGCCTTTTGTCAAAACAATGTTTTATACTGTATATAAAGTTGATTAGCTCATCAATTTCACTTTTCATGAACCGCCCATATCTGAATGGGGCGGGACATTAAAAAAGTTGGATGTCCTACCGCTATAACTGGAATTAATATCATACTATTGGTGAGCTATATAGTAAGCTATTATATGAAATTATAATGAACATAGTAACATCATATGATTAATATTATACTAAGTATAGGGTTACATTAGTATACTATATTACTCCTCCAGATTGTGGATGGTTACTCTGCAGTGGACAGATGTAGATATTAGCCAGAGGCAGGATGCTAAAGTTAAAGTTATAAATATTGTTCTGTAATCTTGTTTACACAATGTGTGGTGTGGGTTTTGTGGGTGCTGCTGGTTCGAAGACTACAAGTCCCACATTCCACATGCTGCAATGCACTAACAGTATGGTTTTCTGGTGTGAGTGTTTTCACTCATCAGTGTGATGTCAACATTTAAGGCGTTGAAAACACTGTTACCAAGGATACAGGCAGTCTTGTGTACATTTTACATTAACACAGATACAGGCCTGACAGGATGATTACAGACTTGAGTTTACAGTTTGAGTTAGGATTAGAAGGTAAGATAATGATAATAAACTACAGTGCCCATGTGTATTGTAAAAAAATAAATAATAAATAGGACAACGTCAGCCAGTGCAACAGTGTGGCTCAATGATTTGTTGTTAATCACTTTTAGGCATCAATGGCATTATATGGCACAAAGGAATAATTTAAATCAGGCTTTGGATACACAGACAATTATTATTAGTGCAATCAATTCACAGTTGGTTTTGGTCTTTTCATGAGAATTCTTGATAATAACATAAATTGTTATATATCACCAGATTCATCCATCATAGTACATCTGTTTATAATCTGGCAATAACACAGGACTTAACACTCAATTAAATATACACTATGTCACTTATTAATATCCGACTAAATTAAAGTATTGGATGAGTCACAGACAGCTGGAGTTTCAACATTTAAACTGATGTGATGTATGGCTCGCTGTCTGAGCTCAGAGCCAATACCAACATTTGGTTTTAACTCCCTGCTACTGTGATCCTGGCTAGGAAGGAGAATGGCGGGAAATTAATGTCATTACATTTTCTTCAGTCAAGCTTCAAATCCTTAATTTGCTCGTGGACGTGTGACATCACAGAGGAGGGACAAAAATACAAATAAGCTTTGAAGTCCAGACTTCTGCACCAAAGATCACAAGACTCAAGTCCGCCTACAAAAATACTGACACAAATTAAAGCACACTATTTTGACTAGAGGGAGCAGATGCTTACATTCTACTTTAACTTGTTGAGGAATTAGGCACTACTGCTTTTGGCTGAGACAAGGGAGCCATGCAGCCTGGAAGCAAATGGGAGCCATTGTAGCCATGACGGACACAGCGTCGGCTGAAGCGTGAAACATACAGCCAGATCTGGGCAAAAATATATCAGAACCTGCTTGGGAGGCGCTTATTATTTAGCCTACCAAGCACTGTGAACAGCTTGTTTTCGCAACCCAAAACTGTTCATTTTCAGCTAGTATTATTTTGGCCCAGGTCTGCTACGGCACGACCCAGTCATTCACCTGCCGGCTCATCCAGACTAGTGACATTGTCATAGAATGAAGCCCTTTGAATGGTCTGAATCTCTACAACACAGAGAGAGAGACAGTGGGGGGAAGGTGATGTTAATCCTTAGAAATCAGAAATGTATAGGCCTGGGTCAACAAAGCAGACAGCTGTTAGTAGTAGGTTTGAGTGAGTGACATATCGACGTATTTTTAATTGAATAAGCAAACAGGTACACACATAATGAATCTTAAAGGATGTGTTACTAAAAAGCAACTCCTTCTTGTATCTTGTACTGTTTTGTAGTGTTAGTGGCAGCTTACCATCTTTCCAAAGTTCAGCCACAAATTTATCAGTTGACTGATGAAGAAGTGTGGCCACATTGTCATTCAGGGGGTCCATGTTCTTCATTAGCCACTCATCTGCCTTATAGTCCACCTGTAACAAAGACGTTGAACAACTCAGTCATATGAACGAAATCAATACCACAATTACAGTCTGACTGGTACTGGATTTTTGCAGCAGATTCCATGTTTATTTTCTGAACAATCTGCTAACGATATACCTGCCAATATAATTGTGTTTTTACGTTAACACAAGGACAAACATTTTTGATTAAGATCTGTTTTAATGGAATATTTTTAGCATTTATGTACTTCCATTTTTATTACCTATCGGCATATGGCATATTTTGTGTACAGTATATAGTGTAGCATATGTCAAACATGTTGGCCATACAGCCAATGCTAGCTATATCTCTAAATCTATCTATCTCTATCTCTATATCTATCTATCTATATCCATTAGATTTCTCAAATATCAATATTGGTAACAGCCTTAAAAATCTAAGTCTAAAAGTCTAACTGGAAGTGTGTGGGGATGTGTTGACATCTGACAATGCAAATACTGACACCAGATATATCTGTATATTTAAATACACATATGTATTTGAGATACAGGTTTGATATACATCATATTTAAAATTAGATTTTGAGAGAGCTTATCTTGGGATGTGCTGGTTGTTTAACAGAAGAAGAGGAAATGTCAGATCTATCAAAGTGATTACCTGTGTAACTAGCTAATCAAGTGTATTGCGGCCTGGGACGCTAAAACAACTATTGAATACAGTACAGTTAGTCAGTACAGTCTTAATATGCATTTGTCCATCTGACATACATCATGGTGACCCACTTCAAATGCTGACTAAATTTACAGGCTATGCTTTATTCTACTGATTCAAACCGCATACATGAGGTCATATTTTGTGTGCATACCTATGTTGACAACATTTGGCTTCATGGCGCTGCAGATTTTTCTCCACAGCAGACGAGTGTTTGACTGATTGTGGTGTAAAACGACACAGTCCACATAATGGTAAGCAGATGTGCTACTCTGCAGGTCTCTCTGCAACACAAGTGCTGAGTCCTATTGCATAACAGCACTGACAATTTCCAAATCCTATTTCATACAATGCCATATAAATCAAACCAGGACACGGTATTTCCCTGAAATCCCACCACAGGAGAACTTGGAGTTACTCTTTAATCTGAGCGCTGAACTGCAGCAACTTTTTACTTGCCGTTTAATTTTTGCAGGAGAAGATCAGGGAGGAAAAGAGAAACTATGAATGTAGACAAAAATAAAGAAGCTGGTCCCACAAAGAACAAAAGTAGAAACTTAAAGTCTAAGTGCATTCTAAGTCATAAAAGCTAAGAATATGATTGTCTTTTTCCTATGTGTCTGTCTTGGTGAGTGCTTTTAAGAAGAGAGCCTGACTTATGCCCTATAAACATGCGCCATAAAAATGAAAAGCTTCATCCTTTCGATAAATTGCAATTTCCAAGATCATTTCCACTTTATTTTTTCTGGACTTGGTGTCTTCCAGAAACACCAACAGTGTATTTTCAGTAAAGCAAAGACAGAAACCTGCGGAGTGTGATTTTGAGAGAAATAAAATGAGGGTACCTTGCCGGCGTAGTGGAGGATACAGAAGTCGGCCTTATCTTTGAGCTGTCGGGGCTTCTGGAACTTGGTGTGTGTGCCCTGCTCCTGGGTCAGCTTGTCTACAAAGGTCTTGTCTGTGGCCTTGGGGAACCAGCACTCTTCATCAAGCAGAGCCAACACTCCTGGAGGGTTCGCCTGAAG